TTTCGAGGAATATTCAAGTGTACTTGATTATTATAGAATTAATCAAATGAACAAAAAACAATTACTACAGACAAGCAACATATATATGGGATACTTATGTTCTAGAAAATCCGATGATTTAAAGTAAGACAAATAGTGAATATATTTTTATTCATATAATCAATATAAAGAAATATGAAAGACCTATTACTTAGTCACCTAGTCATATACAACGTAGAAGCTGACACGTGTGCTTTGTTTCAAGTCGGTATACCATATTTGTACAGTAAGACTAATTCTAGAGTGATAAATAAGAAATTTCGTCTAAATTTGATCGAACAGGTTCACAGTATTTGGGTACCAAGTTGATGCGAGACATTAGTTATCACCTTTTTTTATTGTTTTTTTAGTAACCATTAGTGAGGTATAAAATACTTCAGGTAATTTATGTAAAATCATAGTTATTAATTTTGTCATTATTATCGTTATACTAATAGTAGTCATAATCATTATTATTATGATTATTATTATTATTACAGTCTATTATTGTTGGTTTTATAGCCCACAAAGATAGTGAACATTTAATAAGAACATTCAACTCAATTAATATAGTGACTCTGTGGACAAAAAAGGGTTTATAATCTTGTTTTGTATATATATTGAGTCTTAACAGTAGGTTTACATTTGTAAACCTTACATGGTATATAAGAACTTTCGTCTAAATTGAATCGAATAGTTTCACAGGAAATATCCTTGAAAAACTTTGGACGAGATTGTTTGGCAATATGTTGGATTTACTTCAAATTCATTCGCTGAGATTTTACAAATATATTCTTCCTTTTTAATATCTCACATTAACTCGGCAACCAAATACTGCGAAACGATTCGATCAAATTTAGACGAAAGTTCTTATTTATTATTTTGCAATCGCATCAAATTATCGAAGAAAATATACAACTGTTAGATATTTTCTTGAGAAAGCTTAAACCAGATTGTTAGGTGAAACATAAGATTTACTTGATAATCATTCACTAAGATTTTACAAATACATTCTTCCTTTTTAATTCCATAATAGCAGAAATAGTAATTGTATTAAGAGTAATAGAAAATAAAATAAAAGTTATCAGAAGATTTCAAGATTTATGTTCTAAAGGAAGACAAAAAAAAGTAATGAATGTACCTACTGAATTCCTTTATCATTGATTACAATACTCATATAGATTGTAACTAGGTAGTTACTACTTATTACTCAGAAACAATAGTTGTTTTTCTTTCAGTCTAATAATAGTTACGTTTATATTAAGATTATTCAATCGATGATTGGTTCAGTTTCATACAGAGATAAGTGAATTTTATTAGACAATAGTTATATTTTCTTTTTAAATAATGATTTATCAGATCTAACCAATGTTACAAAGTCATTAACAAAATTTCCGACTCTTTTTCAATTAAATTAAGTGCTCAATTATTTTATTGTTTCTACGACTCAACTAATTCTATCCATACGAACTATTTGAAGAATACATAAAAAAAGAAGGAAAGATTACGAAACAAGCTGAGTTAAATGTAGTGAAGTAGTTTGTTTTAAAGTAAAAATAATCACATTGATTGAATCATTAATCTTAGATAAATTGATCTGAATAACAAAAAACTCTTGCCCAGTATGTATACATATGTACCCACTCATTTAACTATTATCACTAACCTTTTTGGACATAAATGAAAATCACCACATTCTCTAAAAACATAACAAGGAAGTAAACTAAATGACTGAACAGCTAAAAAGAGATAAAGCAATGAATAATGGGGGTTAAATGAAACAAAGAATTGATCAATATTGAGAGTCTCGAAGCGTTGGACAGTCGCTTTCTTGTAATACAGAGTTTCTCAGTAATGCACATCCACGACCTCAGATGCTGAGCCAAACCTGAAACCTTTGGTTTTGCGCGTTAACGCTTAACCTATAGACTACTGAGCTCCATCCAACAATATTAATTTCCAAACTCATTCAATCCACGATACTACGCGACTATCTTCCACCTAACGCGGAGTGGATTGGACTAGTCACAGGTTCTCATTAGAACTCTGGAAATTTTCCACGAAACCTAATTGAATTATCTCATACAACTTTTTCCCACTAATAAATTCGAATGAAATAAGATATTATGATATTCAATGGAAGGTTATTACAATGTATATTGTTCACTTTTTAACAATTAAACATTAAATTGAAGCTCATTAACAATATTCAAGGTTAAAAACATCATTTCCAAGGTCAATGTGTTTACAACAAAATCTACATTCACTTGTTTAAATAGTTTAAGAATTTTACTTTTAAACTAGAGAAATTTCGTTTTTAAATATATTCAATAGAATAAAAGCTAATTATTATTATAACTTCTGTCTAGTTTTTATATGACATAAATGTACACCTACACTTATGTCATTCAGCTACAATGTAAGACCAGGCACATGTGTGCATCGACCCAAGTTGCCATACCTCGTTAGCACAACAAGATGAACACCGGATTCATGGAAGTAGTTAATTCAGTGGTGGTAATACATAAAAGAAAGATTGCATATAGGGACATAGTGCAAGAAGAAAGAACCTATACTTATATGTTAAATGTGATTTTTCGAATAATGATAATAATAATAATAATAATGCCATAATACCATTGGCTTAATAAAAATTGAATGAAACACGTGTCATCTGAGTAAATTTTATTATTCTTTTTGCGAAGTAATAACAATAAAAACGACTATTTTTTATTCGTAATTACCAATAAAAAAGAAGGAAACACAACCGGAATGTTATAATCAGTTAGTAACAACGTAGAACTTCATACGTACGTACATCAGTTCAAGTTGCCATACCACATTAGCATAGACATACAGTTGTCGATTCAAATCCCATAGTGGTAGGGGTAGTAAAAGTGTAAGCGATAACTGGAAAGATTACGGTTTGAAGATGTTATTCAAGGAGTATAATCCAGTGAAATAAATTAATAAATAATACCATTATAGAATGTTGTATTTCTCAACATACACAAAGGGAAAAACAAGATTCTCCGATACAACACAACATGCAACAATCGAATCACACTTAACGAAGAAGCTTTGAAAGATGTAAAAACATTTACTTGTCTGGATAGCATCATTGATGAACATGGTGGATCTGATGCAGATGTGAAGGCGCAATCGGCGAAGCAAGAGCAGAATATGTACAACTGAAGAACCTCTGGAAGTCAAAACAACTGTTAATGAACATCAGAGTAAGAATTTTCAATACAAATGTCAAGATAGTTCTACTTTATGAGATGGAAACTTGAAGAACAAAGAAAGCCATCATCCAGAAGATACAAGCGTTTATTAACAGCTGTCTACACAAAATACTTCGGATCCGTTGGCCAGACACTATCAGCAACAACCTATTGTGGGAGAGAACAAACCAGATCCCAGCGGAGGAAGAAATGAGGAAGAGGCGCTGGAAGTGGATAGGCCATGCATTGAGGAAAGCACCCAACTGCGTCACAAGACAAGCCGTCACTTGAAATCCTCAAGGTCAAAGGAGGAAAATAGGAAGACTAAAGAACACATTACACCGAGAAGTAGAGACAGATATGAGAAGAATGAACAATTGGATAGAACTTGAAAGGAAGTCTCAGGACGGAGTGGGTTGGAGAATACTGGTTGGCGGTCTATGCCCTATTGAGAGTAACAGGCGTAAGTAAGTTAGTAAATATTATAGAATGTTATGATAGTATTATATATGATAAAATTCATATGTTTATTGATTACTGATTAATGCAACTGATTAATACGACAAATACCATTAATATTATGATTATTACTATATTGCATGGTAATCAGTCATAATCTATTTATTAATTTATACTACTCATAGTTGAATTATTAATTAGTAGACTTTAAAAATATAATAAAGATATATGAGTGTGTAAATTATTCATGAGTCAGTATTTATTTCCTAATTCATTTTTTTGACTAAAGTTTTAAGTTTTTGAATATTTTTAAAGCTTCAATAGTTCCTACTTTTGAAAAATATTTTCCCCACATTTTAATGTTGATATACAACTCCAATAGACATCATGGAGAAGATTTGTAGCTCAGGTGGGTGATTTTGGTGGAGTTTTGTTCTCTGAGTTGGATGGTTTGGTCGTGGAGCTTTCATCGTTCTTCTGAATGACATCATCATCACAAACTTCAGGTAGAAGTGAAGTGATAATATCGTTCAGAAGAACAATGAAAGCTGCAAGACCAAACCATCCAGCTCAGAGAACAACGCTTTATCGAAACCCAATTGACAGTAATTTTTATGACATAATTCTAACAATTTAAAAATGAACTTAATAACTGAATGTCAACTGATGAGTAATGGGTGTAAATGTAAATAAAGTTTTTTAAAAACTTAGTAAGGAGTTAATATTATTGTCATTCAATTTTTACTGAAATGCACGATTGTTTACAGTATTTTATTTGTATTTTTCAGGTAAAATTTAAGAAATCTTATGAAATATTATTTAACAAATCTTAAAATACATGGATTATACTAGCAGATTCATTTTTGTTCACTACTTAACCAGAATTTCGCAAACTAGAAATGTTTTTCTTGCGCTTACTCTTAATTAAGAGCATTCAACGGTTGTTTATACCTTGACGTGGTGGTCGGGCTTGCCTATCGTGATGAATTAATCGAGTTATACTGGCCCGAAAAATCATTCCCCAAGGTCCTACTATGCCAGACAAGTCGGTCGAAGAGCGGTATGACTAAAAGCAACAAACCCAAGGTCCGAGGGCGAAGTCGTAATATAGACTGTATGGAGGTTTGACGGTAGTAAGGTATTTCCTTCAGATACCAGCATGACAGCGGTGCTGCCTTCTCACAAGGAGATGTGGGGTTAGAAAAGGTCGACCCTAAAAATGCACACCTTGCCTTATCCTACGGATATCCGTCTTCTTCGGTAAGATCTCAACATGTACAGAGCTAACACGAAACTTACCCACAAAATGGTTGTGCCTGACCGGCTTCATGCAGTCATCCCTTGGGCACTGCGGTCACGCTTTCGGGTCACCAAGATCACTCCTAATCCAAGTTCCTTTCCAGGTATCTCCAGAAAAACCTTTCTACGATATGAGCAACCAGTAAGTGATAACCGCCTTCAGACCTCTAACAGCACTTAAAAGGGACTGACTAATCAAGAGCAACAGGAAATTAATAAACTTTTTCTTTAAGATGCAAATATTGTGTTCCTTTTACAAAGGAAAGGAATTTTATTCAATAATTACTATTTAAGAAAACAAGTTCATTTCATAAACCCATAGAATATTGAACAACAGAAAAAAAAACAAATGAAAATTTACTCACTTGACTAGAGGAAATTGTAGTCCTTGTATTTATTTATTTACATCCAAGATATTCATTAATCACTATAATAAGTATTTGTTCAAAAGGTTATTTAATTTATGTTAAATTGATAGAACAAATTCCAAAACATATAAAGTTTTTATTGTTTAATCGACTTAGAATATTTCTAATAAGATCCATTATAAATTATAAGTGAATAGTTCAATTCTTTTTAATATTCAATTTGTTCAACGTTATTAAATTATGGAATTAAAATGTTGCATAATTTAAAATTATGAATAGAGGATAGAAGACAACTAAGTCATTGACTAAACTTTCTGTTTTACCGCATATATGTAATAATAATAATAGTAATAATAAATCAATCATTCACTGATTGGTAATCAAATCCTCTCATCATCTGATTGGTTAATTCTTTTCTTGATTACGTAATTTAAACAAAATGATTGATGAATTAATTCATTCAATTTTTACATATTCCTCATTGATATGAGTAGCCAAATGAAAATTGTATTTAATGTATGTGTTTAATTGTTGTTGGCTATGGTTGATCAATCATTTGATAAATTCATCATTTTATCCATGTTAAGAGAAAAAAATTTTCTATTTTTTTTTCTTTTAACAATACACGCGATAAATAATGACTACTACTGTATTGGTAACAATGATTCTCAATTTGTTTAACTTTTTGTTTGTTTGTGTGTTATATTTACTGTCCAATCAAATCATAATCAGCTGTAAAAATATCAACCAATCAAATTAAAGTTTATAAATTGGAAGAATTTTAAAATTAAAAAAAAAACGATGTTTTTGTTTTTTTTAAAATAACTTTTTATGAGAAATGATTGTTCTTTTTTTTCTTCAATTTTTATTTCAATTAAAATTGGATAGTTTTTCTTTTTGAAGATTGGATATAAATTTTATTTATAGATTTGTATAGGTTATCCAGCTTTCTCTGGGAGAGAACAAACCAACTTCCAGCTGAAGAGGAAATTAGGGAAAGACGATAGGAATGGATTGGACATACATTACACAAATCATCAAACGGCATCACGAAGCAAGCCCTAACTTGGAATCCTGTAGGGAAGTGGAAAAGAGGAGGGCCAAAGAACGCATTACGTCGGGAACTAGAAGCAGATATGAAAAAGATGAATAGTGACTGGAAGGAGCTGGAAAGGATTGCTTGGGATAGGGTTGGATGGAGAATGCTGGTGAGCAGCCTATGCTCCTTCACGAGGAGTAACAGGCGTAAGTAAGTAAGTAAGTAAGTATAGGTTATCCAAGTAAAATCATTAAACAATCCCTATAGAATATTTAAAAAAGAATATTTGAGCTAACTCTATAGTAGAGTCTGATGATGAAAGTAATGAAAACAGTTGTACACTTAAGTACTCTTCTGGTCTTTAAAATAAATTCACAGTATAGAGACTTTCTGGACTGTTTAATATTATTGCGGTCATGAACTGATCTAGGTTAGGCAGTATTCAAAATCTGTTAACAATTGACAGTTATCGTGTTCTAATATGGGATCCTGTCAATAGGAATTAGTCGTGGAACTTTTGGTCTCATGTGGGAGCCTTTAACCCCTAGGCTACTGAGTTGGAATCCAATGGCGAATCCTTACTGATGTAGAGTCCTGTTTTATGATGAAACGGATAACCAACCCTTCTAGTTTTCAATAATTGTCTAGTTTTCACTTATTCATAGTCGCCATAAGATAAATTCTGTTGAGATATACCAGAAAGTGAAAAATACACTACTGTATATTTACTTTGACTTCATTCGTTAGATTTTACAAATATATTTTTTCTTTTTTATGTCTCATATCAATTGGCACCGAAAATACTGTAAAACTATTCGATTAAATTTAGAAGAAAGTTCTTATTTAATACATATTTTGTTTCCTACAATGATATATGTAAACATTGATTTTTGAGAGAGAATTGTTTAAACAAAGTTAAAACGACATTTCTTATTTTAACCACTAAATGGAATGAAAACAAGGCGAAACAGTGAAATTCTAATCCTTTTTCAAATATTTTCATACTATTTTTTTTTCAGTGTTTACATTATCTAGAATGAAACAAAACTATTCAAATAGTTCTTTTATGATTGTAGAACAAATAAATTAAATTAGTTGGTGGGCTGATCTCATCAAAATGAAACGAAACAAAAATGTTGAATCTGATTTGATTTCATTAATACATCAGATTGTCAATTTCTAGATAATTCTATAGCATTCAAAGGGTATAGCTAGCCAAGAATATTTTCTGGTTAATTACATTATAATGTACTACTTGACATTGTATATTATCAATTTATCCTGTTAAAATGTTTCCTAGTTACAAAGAGATAGTTTAATGAAGTATACAAAATCAACAGCCAGAAATCGATAGATACTCAGTAACCTTAATCAAAATGAAATGTATTTTATCATGTTGACATATTCTCAATCAATTCAAATCGATAATTGATCATTTCAAGGAATATTCGATAAAATATTAACATTTTTTAAAAATTTTTCATTTCCAACAAAGTTTTTAATTAAAAATGAATAATGGTTGAGAATTCAAAACGAATATCAACAAAAATATATTCAATATATATTTCAGTATATTTATTCTATATAATTGGTGATAAAATGTTTATAATGAGTTTATTTACGTAAGATGTACACTTATTAACAAAGGCTAACCAAGTTTTAGTAAAGTGTTGTGTCCAGCTTTTTATCATGTGATTCATCCACCAATCAAAATACGACTTATACAATCTTAGCACTGTGCCAAACTAATGGCGTTCGACCGGTATGAGCAGCCTAGAGTCCTTATTAGTCCTGTGCCCGCCTAGCTCGTCCACTTGAGTTCAGAACACCGATACCAGCTTCCACTATGCGAATCGAATCGAATCATTTATTTTAGACATACTGGGTTTATATATCAACCAAACAAATCGCAACGCACCATAAAATAGGAAATAACATTTATACACAATAAAGTCAAAAAGTGACTGTGAACGTGGGAGGTAGTAGTCAATAAACTGAACACAGTTTACGAACAGTAAATTGTATAATAATAAATTATAGATCAAAATGAAGCTTATAATAAGAGGAATATAAATATACATAATCTAGTTACCGAATATTCATACCATGAGAATATATAAATAATAATAGTCCATTAATAAGTCTCAGACGTTACTCATAATGTAATCTTCACTAGGATATAGCAAAGAGTACCTAAAGCGAGATAATTGAAAAATTGGATATCATAAAACTTGAGGTTAATTGTGACATTTATAACTTTATACATTCATTACACATACAAATAGTATTTTAAATTAATCATCAATAGGATAATCTTTGTTAGTTTGTGTATTGTCTACATCTGATATAAATGTATAAACAGTGCATTCATGAATTCATTAAAAATGATTTTCATGTTTATTAGTACTTTTAAAGTAGTCAAAATTGAAAAATCTTTCTGTTTGCCTGACTATTTTATATTCATTATTGTCAAGTGGATTGATGCTATTAAATGGAACAATAGAGTTAATAGCTGAAAAATTATTAAAATTCTGTGGATACATCGCTACAAAGAATTCTTCTTTTAAAGTAATCTACAGAGTGAAAGGAATTGGATTGAAGGGGTGTCGAATCAATCACTGTTGAGTCATTGGCAATCCACCAACTCAAGCCTAAAGCTGAAAAATTCTCATCATAATTATACACAGATAAATATGAATGAAAAATATTCTTTTTAATAAATTCTCGTCAGATACTCTGTCATTTAATAATTCAATAAGTGGATAGGTTTTGAATTAAAATGCATCGTTTAAAATTACAAGATGTGAATTTAGGATTGTTTGTATTATGAATAAAATCGAATCGTTTATGTTGTACGAGCATTCCATGTACCTAAATTAATGGTTGCTCTGGTTGTCAGAAAAGGTATCAGCCTCGGCTTTGGCCATGAGGCGTCATAACTCTTCTAAATGGAAGACTTTCTAACTTTCGGGGCAGAGTTTAGATGGTTTGAATTACTTTTTTTCTGGTTAGAGTTTTTAGCGAGTTAGTTTTCTAAGGGATGAGGTAGCTAGCCCCATGCCCAACCCTCCTCCTTTATCCAGAATTGGGACCGACAGTGGCCCCAGAAGGGCTCGAGCAGGGGTTTATGTTAAGACAAATAAAATGATGTGATGACTTCAATAAGTTTATACGTTAAATGGAACTGTAAGGATAATGATCAGAATGAATATGGTTAATATTGATGTAAAAGGGATGATAATGTAATTACAAATTAGAAATCGCGTAATATGCAGAATAATATCAATTAGGTACAAATTAGTAAAAAGGGTTGGGTGTTATGATAAGGATGACTGGTTTCAAGAGGTATTTCCTAGAGTTGTAGTGAGAAGCAGTGATCAGTAGAGTTCAACTGGATCTGTTGTGAGATAGTAACTCACTGAAGATAATGGTGGATGTGTCTCTCAATTTAGTGGATTCGCTGAATTTAGACATTAACACTTTTGGATACCGGCAGGCTCAGTGGTCTGGTGGTTAAGCGCTCACGCACGAGACTGATCGGTCCTGAGTTCAAATCTCGAGAGGCGGGATCGTGAATGTGTCCCACAATATGACGAAACGGTCGTCCAGTGCCTCCAGGTTTTTCATGGTAGTCTAGTTTCAATTATTCATAATCTCAACCATTAAAATTACTATAATATCCACAAAAAACCCCTTATGATATTAAGATAAGTTTGAGCTATGAAAATACAAAGAGGAAAGTTGCATGAACAATAATCGAATTATTTCACTAATCATCAACTGATCAGTAACTAATTGAATCAGAAGTTAGTCAAGGTAAAAGGAGTGTTTGAGTATATGTATTTTGAACTCAGCTCTCTGAATGATTCTTAGTTTGACGGATTTAGGTAGATTGCTGTTAACACGATATATTACTGTAAATGTTTGTTCTATGTTAGTTGCATGGCCCGTTTGAACTAAATGAGCTAAAATGGGGCTGTTACCCGTTTTAATTGAACCAATAGAGCAGTTGAACTGATAGATACATAAAGAGGTGGTTAGTCTAGGTAATCTATTTTTCAGTCTTTGAGATACCATCGGACGTGTGGAAACACATTGATTGTAGTTTACCTGTATTGTTTTATGCAAAAGCTTCAAGGTTTTGAACTGAAACGTCAATAAGTATGATAACTTTATTGTTTGATGATAATTTACGAGTTAATAGAAGTTGGCACTTATTTGAAGGAATATTCATTAGTTTTAGCAGAAGGTTGTAGATGTCAAACTGTAAAATGAGAAGAAAAGTTGAACGTTAATTTGCCTTATTTTGTAAAGAATTATATCTTCGCTTTGTTAATGTTAGTGTCGTTACCAGTGGAGTTCAACCAGGTCTGTTGTGAGATATCAACTCACTGAAGACAATGGTGTACGGTGGCGCAACTTCGTGGATTGGTTGAAGTTAGACATTAACACCGTTGGATG